ATACTCCAAAAAAATTGATAGTGGGAAGTGAAATGAATGTCACATCGATCCTAAGGCGTGCCAAAAACAAAATTATGATTTTATGATACAAATTAGGTCTTCATTTTTCAAACGATAAAATGCTTTTTTTTTTTTTTTTACATCGAAAACCCCACCAACAATTATGTACATACCAAAAATACTCCCTTTTTACTTAAGAGGCTAGAGCCTAGAGTGTTCAATTGGTTACATTTTCAAATTCATTTTCATTTTTCTCAATATAATTTTATATAATTAAGAACTTCAAAATTTCAAGGCGTGCAATTATTGGACAAAGTCCAAAGTTTGATATGTTGTGTCATTTTGTCTAGGAGGAATTTTGACCACTTGAAAATATGGAGTAATTCATAAAAGTTTGTTTGACTCATCCAATAATTATTGGCGTGAAAAATAGGATTGCTTTCTTGATATATTATCATATGATTAATTATGAGGAAATTAGTGAAACAAAGTTCTGCATATATATAGTATTGAGATAATTATTCGTTTAATCATTAATTCTTGAAAGTAAAAATACATACTCTATTTTTTTCATTTATATAATGAATAAATATCCAAAGATTTGAAGCCTTATAATTAATAGAAAAAAGCCAAAGATTGACAATTGTTGTAGGAGAATCGCATTCGATGCTTCCAATAATTACATTTTTTTTAACAGATTAGATTCCCAATAATTACATTTACGCGCATGCTTTGCCTAAGTTCTTATGTTGCGCTTCCTCTGTTTCTAGGGACGGAACTAATATCAAAATGTAGGGGGATCGGCTTAATTTTCTGAATATTGGGGCAGTGTCGAAAACAAATTTAGGTAAAGAAACAAAATATTATTGCAGTTAATATTTTGGGATATGAGACATTATCCTTATTATTTTTTTAGTGGTATTGACAAAAAAAAAAAGTAAATATTTATAAATTCTATTTTAAATAATATTAGTTTAACCATTTTATTTATATTGTTATATTAACTATGATATATGTATATATAATTTATATAAAATTGTGAGGAAGAAACAAAAGAATGAATAGTTGAAACATGTATTTTCAAAAACTTTGTATACCTGCGTTCTTGTTTTTTCAATTGTATACTTGCATTCTTGTATATATATTAATCAACTGTATATTAATCAACTATACTTGCATTCTTGATAGCCAAACAATAAACTAATTTCTTGATCAACTGCATATTAATCAACTATACTTGCATTCTTGTATATTAATCAACTGTATACTTGCATTCTTGTATATTCATCAACTATATATTGATCAATTGTATATTAATAAACTATATTTGCATTCTTGATTGCCGCGCAATAAACTAACTTCTTGATCAACTGCATACTAATCAACCATACTTGCATTCTTGTTTTATACCCAGTTTTAGATTTGTGAGCACACCACCTTTGTCAGGCCGGCAAGTGAAAACGAGTTCCCATGGTTTCAACGCTGGAATCTGAACGATATAGCCGTGAAGCTACGAGAAAAGGCAATAATCGACATCCGCAACAAAGATGTTACCAACACAACGTTAGTCCCTTCGACTATAATTACAAATAGACACATATCTTAATTGATTAGTTACTTGCGTGATATGCAGAAAATGGCAAAGAGGGAATAAAATACACGCGAGGGGGTTCAACCAATTCATGAACATATTACATGGGCTTGTATACATATAACCGGAAGACACATAGACCTAAACTTTGTAAAGTCTATATAACCAGGGTGTTTACCCTCATTTTCCTATAACATATCTTCCCAAATAAGACTTCCAAATCTTTTGAAAATATAAATAAATAAAAAGGGGAAAAATACAAATTTCATCCTTTAAGTTTGCGCCGATTTCACATTTGGCCCATCATGTTTTAAAAATTCAGCAATTTTAGTCATTTCCGTTAGTAATAACAGAATCAAGCATGTGCCCAAAACTGCCTAATTGGCGGACTAACGGTAAATTCACGAAAATGGCCAAAAGTGTTAAATTATTGAAATATGATGGACCAAATGTATTTTTCATAAACATGGGGACCAAATGTGAAATCGGTGTAAACTCGAGGGATGCAAATTGTAATATTTTTCCAAATAAAAAGATTATCCCTCCTTGTCACTATAACACCTAAACCAATGCATTAGGGCATCTCCAATTATGGTCTTTTTGGGCTGTTAAAAGCTATAATTTATGGATTATACCATTTATCAACAAAAAATTCATCTCCAACGGGTGATGTAAAATTTAGATGGCCATGTAAAATGATAACCCCAGCTGCTATCTATAGCTGTTCCTATTCATGGCTGCTAAATCAAAATAATATTAAAATAATCAAAAAGTAACAAAAGTTAATACTATATTTTATCATGATAAAGTTGAAATGGTTGAAAAGTAATATACTATAATAAAATGCTATAATATAGCTAATGCGATTGGAGTAGAAAGGGTAAAAATGAACATGTAAAACACTATTCACAAGATATAATAGATATAGCATCACATTTTTTTAGCACTCTCCCTTGCCCTAATGCATTGGTTTAGGTGTTATAGTGCTATATAGTCCACAAAAGTCTTCACTCTTCACTATAATATTGACAAACAACATTTAATTTTTAAACTCTTCTTTCAATATACCTTCCTCCCTACACTTTAAGATATGAAACGGCTCATATATATATATATATATATATATATAGTAGATAACAATGAACATTGATATATGTACATTTATATAGCTACCAAGCAAACTGGTGGGGGCAGTCACCAGCCAAAAAGGTTGTACTTTAGTGTTGTGAATTGTGATCCAGTTTGGGTTTTGAATACAATAAAAAGTCTCTATATATAGAGATATACAGAAAGTATATATATATATTTATATAGTAATAATAATAAATTGAGGGGAAAAAATAAATAAACAAAGTTATGAAGTAGAGGGTGGTGAGCATGATCAAAAGGGGGTAGAAAATTAGTTGGTGGAATTGAAAATAGAGCATCATCAATCATCATCATCATCACCCCCTTAAGCTTTAATAGACACCATAGCTCATTGATGATTTTTCTTTGGTAATTCCTTTTCTTTTTCTTGTGGTCCAATTTTTTTTTTTCTTTTTCACTTCACATCAAACCTATATATAGTGTAATGTTATTAATATATTAATCGACAATCATCGATCAAAGGCTATTTTTTATGGCTAATGAGATGCTACACTTGGTGAATGGTGAAAAATACCGAGTGATCTATATAAATGTTAGTGTATGTTATTATGTGTATATTAAAAGTGTAGACTTACTCGATGTATCTATATGATTTTATAACCGTGTGCACATTTATTGCCGAATAATGAAGAAATGAAAATTAACTTTGATTCGGCCACAAAAATCACAGTTATTTTTATGGTACACCAGATCACGGACGGACTTAGGAGTTTTTTGGTGGAAGGGCTAAAATGTGGTTGTGAATACAAATATGTTTATCAGTTTATGTGCTTAAGTGTACAAAATTCAAATTTCGGAGGAACCAAAGTTTATAAATTAATAGAAAAAAAAAAAAAAAAAAAAAAACCCGAGTCTCCACATGGATCCGCCCCTGCACCCGGTAATATCGAATGAATTTTTACTATTGATCTAGACAAAATCGATATAGCGTAGTATAAACCCAAAAGTAACTGAACTGACATCAGCACAGATTTTTCTCTCTCTCTCTCTCTATTCCTAATTGGAGGGAACATTCTCACGCTTCTTGACAGAAACTGACTCTCTGGGATCAAACACTAGAAATCTTTATTTATTTCTTTTATTTTTATTATTATTTTTTTTCATCGGCAAAAAGTTTGATATGAAAAACAAACCTTAGTCTTTGGTGGTGGCCTTCTTCTTCTTTGACCAACTCTCATGTCTATCGTTTGTCCATAAGATTTGCTTTAACATCATTATCTTATTAAAAGAGAATTACATC